GTCTGGGAGGGCGTCACACACACACACACACACGGGGACACATTTCAGCGCCCCCTCCTGGGGGAGGCCTCTGCAGGCACCTCTCCCTGCGGCTTCACACGTGAGGGTTGTGCAGGCTAACCAGACCCTTTCATCGTTGACACGAACCAGCCACTGAACTACTTCAGGGGCAGCCGCCCCCCTCCCACCGTCCGGCATCGGGGGTCAGGGGAAGTCAACCCCGCCGTCCTCCCGGGCGGCGTCCACACCTTAGGGCCGTTCCCGACACCAGGCTGCGCGGGCTCGAGCTGGCCTCGGCTGTGGGACGCGCACTGGCTCATCACTGTCTCCGACCTTCCCCGATGCCCTCCAGCGGGGCGGGGTGGGGGGAGAGCGGGACCAGCGGAAGTCCCACCCCTGGCCCCTGGGAGGGGCCCCGGCCTCTGTCCTCCGCTGCCCTGTCGACCGAGCCCCAGAGCCCCAGACCACGGGCGGTGCCCGTCCCCTCACCAGAGCCTTGTCTGCGGGGGCGGTGAGCCGGCTGTAGTACTGGATCCTCTTGTTCATGGCGGAGGCCTCGTCGCTGACCCTCGGGGTGACGTCATCCGCACGGACGATGTTCGTGGGCTCGATGCAGAAGGGCCTGGGGGGGGCGGGGGGGACACACGCTTGACCCAGGACACTCGGCCGGGAGTGCTGGGGTCAGCCGCCGAGGAAAGGCACCCCTTGTCCCCCCCGCCAGACGGACGCCCACGGGAGACAACACCCACCCCGCACGCACGCGGGAAAGAAAAGGGCTGCCCGGCGATGCGTGGCCACCCCCCCCCCCCGCCGCACTGACAATCAAGCACAGCCCTTCGTGGAGGAGTTCTGTTTGTCTCACAGTGTAAAGGTGTACGGGCACGCTGCAGAGAAAACACTTTTAACGTTCAGCAAAATTTTTAAAATGCTTTAAAACGTGATTCAAAAACCCCGTATTTTCAGTGAGCGTGCTTATAAACAAGGAAACCTTACTCCCACCCAAAGCCGTCCCTAGGTCCCACTGCGTGAATCCCTCCACGTTCCTGGCCCTCCCGTCTGTCCCCGCCCCCCCAGCCCAGCTGCGCCCGTCTGCTCTGAAGCTCAGTACAGCTCCCCGCGCTCAGCTCACGAGGGCTCACGCCCGCACGAAGACCCTCGGCTCAGACCTGCTCTCCTCTTGACACACCCGAGGGCCAAGGCGCCCAGACACCCGCCAGACTGGGCAGTTCGTTAAAAACAAAAGAATGAGAAGGGAATCGGGCACTCGGAAAATGTCACGCGAGCGACCATTCACATGAACGAACCCGCTGTGCCTGACGGTGCCCACTCCGGAGGGAGCGCGGTGCGCGCCTGCGGTGGCGTTCAGCACGGACGCCGGAGGAGAAGGTAGCCGAGCCATCGCACCGGACTCTGCTCGCTGCAGGAGAACCACCCACCGGTGACCCAGCCTCACAGCCCGGCTCTGGGCCCCCGCCCGATATCCACAGCACACCCTCTCGGCATGGGACTCCCGGCCTGCGGACCGCCCGGCCCAGGCCCCCCTCCTCCCCTCGGGGGTCCTTAGGCTCCAGGAGCACTCAGATCCCCTGGGCACCAGCCAGGGAGGAAGCGCGGCCCTAAACACGGGATGAGGGCAGGAGTCTAATCTGCTGGAGGCGCAGTTCCAATCGAGGGAGAAGGGGAGAGAGGGAGAGAGGGAGGAGGCTGAGAAGCGTTTCCGCTGGGACACAATTTGACGGCTGAAAGTGACATCTGTCCTTAACGAAAGCTCATCTGCAATCTGATACACGTGGATTAAAATTTCCCTGCCACAGGAGAACTTGCAAACGTAGAATGTAAACAATGGCCTTGAGGCCTGTTGTTAAACATAAAACAGCCAAAGTAATCACTGCAATACTGAGCACATGACAACACTAGTGTCCTGCTGTTCATTCCATGTAACACAAGGACTAATCGCAGTATTTTCTGTAAAAAATGTTTCACGATCAGTGAAATTAAACATTCCACGTATTTCAAATATGGAAATCTGCAAGCATTACATAGCATCAAATGAAACATTAATTTGTACAAACATAAAGGTTGTAATTCTAATGTAAATTACTAGGTATGACTACCTGTAATGCTCCCCCCTGCCCCGCCCACGCATCCTTCTGCCCAGGGGACCCTGCTGACGGGCCCCTCTGAAGGGACTGGGCCAGGAAGAGGGGCAGTTAGCAAGGCCTTGCCCCTTGGGGAAACGCTGGTGGCCCCCCTCCCCCGCCAGGGCAGCTCTCCCAGAGCTGCCGTGACTTGTTGCCCAGTTAACCCAGGTAACCGGGAAGGCAGGGCGGAAGGCAGGGCGGTGCTATCCCCGGACCCCTCCCCTCCCCCAGCAGAGAGGTCAGCCACCTTCCGAAGGTGCTCTCCGAACCAGTGCTGGAGCTTTCCTTCGGGGGGGGGGGGGGGTTGGGGGGTGTGCCCACCCTCCCGCCAGAGTAACCGCTGGAACTGGGCAGTGAGGTCAGTCTAGGAAGATGACAGGAACGCAGAGGAGGAGAATGAAAGGTGAACAATGCTACTGGTCATTTCCAAGTCTGCAGCATTAGACAAAAACGCCAGGGTTCTGTGCTTTCGAACCAGCACAGGGTGGGCACCCGAATACACGCGCCTGCACTGCAGTCACTAAACCTGCACTGCAGTCACTAACCGTGAGGGCTGAGGGGCACCAGGGAGGTGGAAATTTACCAGGCAGTCCCAACACAAACTCTGCCCCAATTGTTGCATGAGACCGACGTGATCCAAAGCAGTTTGGATTACTGTGTGGCAAGCTGCTGCACGATTTTAAAAAATAAACAAAGCATGTGCAATTGTCACCGACAGCATTATAAAGTGAAAGCGGAAGTTGTAATGTACAACTAGTAAGTCAAAGGTAATTTTATCAAGATTGATTTTGCATCCTGTAATTCTAAAATTCCCATTTCGTGTCTTATACTGCACAGAAGTACAGAAGGTCGTGGACATAATGTGCAAATACATACCCACACACACACGTGGGCGCAGGACTTCAAGACTGCTACTATTATTTTTAACTGGTAAGAGCGGCCGACGGGAACAGTGAGTGCCCACGAACACCTGGTTCAGGACTCCGGGTTCTCGTGGCACAGCGCTGAGCTGTTCCTCAGTTGCTAATAAGCACCTTCACCAACAACACATGGACAAAGAACTTGACGTGAGTGTTAATTCTCAGGCCCATATATCTTAATTAAACACAGATTTTTGCTAAGAACGAATTTCAAATTCTTTTAATGCAATTCATGCTTTCAAATTTTGTTTTGAAAAAAAAAAATCTGTAAATTGTTTTAATGCTACCGTCACGAAAACAAATCATCTCCACCTTTACGGCTACAGAAGGACCAGCGACAGAAATGCAAGAAATGCAGCAGTTGTTTCGTTTCTACTAAAAGCATCATGGGAACACCAGGGACAGTTCCCTGGACTGAGATTCCAGAAGCACCTTCCGCAAACAGGAACTAACAGGCCCGCAGTTTTTCCCTGGGTCGACAGAAACGGTCCCCCACCACCTCCCCACAGCTGTCACCTCGCCAGGAAAAGCCGCCCCGATGGGACAGGCCGAGGGTCAGTCAACGGAGACTAGGGATGTGTGTGCGATCTCCTCACCCTCCTCTGTCCTCCGGCAGCGCTCCGGGCTCCCGAAAGAGCTCAGGGCAGGGCTCGGGGCAGGCCTCGCAGGTGCGCTGCTTCGGCACCTGCACTGCCTGGGGCTGACGGTAGCGGAGACCCTGCCGGGCTGCAGGGAAACTCCTGTCCCCGGAGCGACCCAGAAGGATTCAAATGAGGGGCCTGGCCCCTCAGCCAGTGCCAGAGCTCCCTTTTCACCGCCCAGAAAACAGCTGATCACGGAACACCTGCCGTCCTCGTCATCCTGGGAACGGCCCTCCTCCCGCCCGACGCCCCAGGGCCCTGAGCTCGGCCCTCGCTCCGGACGTCCCGTGGACCTCATTTCACCGTTCTGCGTCACGTGTGTGGGGCTGCGACACTCCCAGGTACGCGGGAGTTCCCGTACATACGTGTGTAATTAAGTTCGCTCATTTGCTCCGGTCAGTCTCTCCGGTGCAGACTCACTTACCGGGTCGGCCGGCGGGAACTAGAAGGGTGAGAGGGAGGTTCTCCCCTGCTCCCCCGCCCGCCACAGCGGACTCCTCACAGCTCTTCCTCCGGCAAAACAGGCTCCGACTCGGCCCTGAGGAGCGCCCACAGATTCACTGGGGCCCCTATGTCTTCAGAGGGAGGGAGGGAGGGAGGGACGAAAATAAGGCACAGCCGGAGCGCAGGCTACAGGAACAAGCGGCAGACGACGACGGAACCGAAGACAGAACACAGGCAGCAGGCCGGCAGACCCAGTACGAGAGGACCGGGGGGGTGAGGGGGGGCAACCAGGCGCCTGGGGAGAGAGCGAGGAGGAATCCACGCAAGGACTGCGACCTGGAGAGAGTGCAGGGGTCGTGCAGGGGTCGTGCAGGGTCCTGCCGGGACCGGGAGTCAGACCCACCCTGGCGCGGGCACCCAGACGTGAGCTGCACACGGTTCACGGCGTCTGCAACTCCGGGGCTGGGGCTGGCTTCTTCGCGTGTTTAGAATAAGGGTCACACCGGGAAAAGCACCAGTGGAAAGTGGGGAGCGGAGAGGCGAGAGCAGAGGCCTGAAGAGGGGGAGCAGGAGGAGAGGGAGGGGCGCAGGGGGCCGGCAGCCCCAGGGCACGGATCACGGTCAAGGCCCTCGGCCCTTCCACCTGACACGGACAACAAGTTCCTCAAAATGCGACCCTTGCCGCTCTGGAACTGGCCCCTGGAGAAAGGACCCTCCTGTCTCTGCCGCGGACCCCTGAGTCCCAGGCACGACACCACAAGGCCTGGCAGGCTCTTCCAGTCGCTCCAGGGGGCCCGAGTCCCCTCCCACACTAACAACAAACTCGCTTTGCCTCCCTCCTCTGCCTCTCCCAGAGCCAGAAGGAGCCACCAGCTGGTCAAGGACGGCCCCCCTGACACAGGGCCCTGGACAGACGTGCCTGCCAGCAGCCACGCTGAGACCGGGGCGGGGACCTGAGACCCAGGTACGAACGAGGGGGGGATGAGGCTCCATTAACCCGGATTTCTAAAAGTCAGTAACTAAAACACATTAAAATGTAGATTTTACAGGCAGCTGAGGGCTGTCACCAAAGTCACAGGGTCACTCTGAAGCAACCGGAGTTTTCCTCTCAGCTGGTGCTTCCAGCGCAGACAAACTCTCCCCAGTGTGTCTGGCCTTGACTCACACATGCAAAGGGAAGTAACTCCAATTTCACCAGAGGTAAGAATGTTTCGGATGCTCCTTTTTCCCTTACCAAGTAACAGTTTCTGTTCTCGGCATGAACTACTTCACAGACAAACCAGCACTGGACACCTGCTGAGCCTGTACGAGCATCTGTCTCCTTCCAGATGCCTTACCCGGGCTGTTACCCCGCGGCTGCAAACGGCCGATCCCCGCTCCTTTCGACAAGTTTCATCGTGTGAAACGTGTCTCCGCTCTCTCTCCGCGGTCTGACGAGCTCTCCGAGCACCGTCCGAGCTCCTGCCGCCCGCCCGCAGTGGAATGCCCCGCGCCGGCCTCGGTTCCGCTGTCACCGGGGCCGACTATTTATCATGGAACCCAGAGGCTGCCCAGAAACCCTGAGCGCCCGTCGGCCTTCACCAGCTCGCGGGGTCGCGGGGTTGGAGCACACAGGTGGTCGTTCGCACGGCCACCGTGCAGGACGATGGCAGATTCCCCCCCCCCCCCCTGCCTGTGACGAACTGCGCACGGCCACCCCGGCTGCGTGGGAGACTGAGACTGGGGCACAGTCAGCGCCGCGCGGCTACATTCGGGTGCCCGACCGACCACCCGTACGACGGTGGTCCCGAGGGACCATGACGCCGCCAAATGATTCCTGTCCCCCAGCACAGCCCGGTGGCCACCGCCCCGTGGTGCGGAGCGGCACGCTGCACAGGCGGCCGGTCTGGGGGGGACAGGCCGGGCCATCCAGCCCGGGGATGGGGCAGGGGGAGCAGGAGGCTGGGGGGCCGAGGTCTGGGTATGGGCACCTGGCACATCTGCACTGAGGGGACACCTGGCGACGGGCTTCTTGGCAGGCGGCCCCATCAGTCAGCGACGCCTGCCTGTGTCTGGGAAACGGAAAGAGGGCCCTTGAAACCGGCTTCACCCAGTCCCCCTTCACCTCCCAGACGGGGCTGCCCGCGGCCCTTAACGGAGTCGGGGCTCTGGGGCCAGGAATGGGGGGTTTTCTGACTGCCTGCCGGCATTTACCTGCCTGCAGGGTCCCTGCCCCTGCCACCGGGGCCTGAGGCTTCTCCCTGAGGGGCCGCCACTCCCGCAGGCTCCCGCTCGCTCCCGTGGACCCTCTGCCCCTGCCCCCCCCGCACTGAGTCTGCGGGTCTTTCCCCGCCCTTGGCTTTCCCGCTGAGCAACGGACACTGAAGACTCTTGTTCCACTCCGATGTGCGTTACAGCCGCTCCCTGCTCTGCAGTGGGTGAGACTGCCCCGCCCCACTGTAGCCACAGGCCATGCTTTGCTTACCTAGTCCTGTGGGGAAAGACAGTTCTTCCGACCTTTTCTAGTATTAAAAACACTGCGTTCGACAGCCTGCACGTGCACTGTTTGACACTGGGGTTGACGCTCTGGAGAGAGACTGCTGGGCCGCCTGAACTCCGGAGCTGGCTGCAGGCACGTGGGGGGGGGGGTCCCACCAAACAACAGGCGCTTTGCTCTCGCCGCCCCACTGCGAGCAGAACACGCCTTTTTGCCACACTCACATGTTACTAACTCTGGCACCGTGCACACATCCGGAACACCTCTCAGAGACGGACGCATCACACGGCCCTGGACACCTTCTCACCCCTGGGAGCAGGGGACCACTCCCGGGGGCGGGGCGGCGGGGCAGCGGGGAAACGCCACCCCTGCTCCAGTCTGGGGTCAGGACACTGGCTGACCGTTTGGGAGAGAAAGAGGAGCCGCGGTGTCGTTAGGTGGCCTCCGGTGACACCTTCTGGTGGGACCGGGAAAGTGCAAGCATCGACACTCCAAAAGCATCAGTGACTTGGAAGAAAATTCTTTCCAGAAATGCTACATTATCAGTGCTCTTCATGGGACAAAGGGCAATTCTGTATGACGGAAAAACACGGATTTTCATGACCCCGAAAAGTGATTCGGAAGAATCACAGTAGTAATTAATATCTCCACTGATACACTGTTTCTATTTCCACTTTTAGACTTGCACAAGAGATAAACGACACGGAATAAAACGCCGAGTCCGTCCAAGAGTTCCTCAGTAAACAAAAAACTAACAGCAGAAAACTGAGCCCGAGAGAACACGGCATCGGCCGCCCTGGGGGCAGGCTCCCCGAGAGCGGCGTCTGCGTGCAGCGGCACTCACGGGCGGCGTCTCGGGTTTGAGGACACGCTCCAACCTCACGTCAGGCCCCTCAGGGGTATTTCAGAGCTTCTCTCGTACAGAGTTGGCACATCCTGAAGGCCACCCTCTGAGTTTTTTCTGTCCTTCACTATACTTTCTCACCGGGATGCTACTTATTTTTGCCTGTTTTGTAAATAGTCACCCTACTGAATTTTCTGACTATTGACAACAATTTTTCAGTGGATGCTTTTGGGTTTTCCACGTATGCAATGAGGCGAATTTTACACTCAGATCTTAAGCTGTGTGCTGGCATTTGAGCTCCACGCAGGTCGGGACTAGGTATTACTTTCACTGTTCCATCCTCAGCATCGAGCACATCACCTTGCATGAGGCCGGTGATCAGTACATATTTGTTACACGAACTATACAAATGCATCCGACTTCATAAAACTAACCCCCCCCAACAGAGATGTTCGGTTTCGTCGAAAAAGTCAAATACAAATGAGGAAACAGTATTCGTATTTATCCCCTCCCACTACAAACACACAGATCCCATAGGAAACTGGATATTTTATAATTAAAGCTATACATGTTTGGTTAAAATTAGTTCTCCTTTAGTAATGAAAAACCCTAATTAGGAAACAAGCGTTCTGTTTTAAACTCGCCTTTTGGACCTCAGATCCGCCGAGTCGAACTGGATGTTCCCGGGTCCGGGGTTCACTTCCAGGTCGGCCTCGGGGCCGAGGAGGTGCGCGGCGTCGCCTTCCATGCCCGGCACGCTGCTCACACTCGGGCGCCGCCGCCGCCGCCGCCGCCGCCGCCGCCGCCGGTCCTGTGTGAGTCGGAGGAGACAGAGGATACATCCACGCGCGTGAGACACTGGGAAAATACAGGGATTCGCTGAAGATACCTCCACGCAGCCTGTGCCCCAAACCCTTACTTCACCAGAAACTCATAAGTTGAAACAAAGTCACTGCTTATTTTCACCTCAACAAAAAAGTGGGCCAATCCATTTCCAGCAGGAAAACAGACAAGGCCATTTGGACCCCTTTTTCTGCAGGATAAAAACCCCCAAATACTGGGTACAATACTAAAAACATTTTTTTGGGGAAGCGTCAAAACCAGCGAGAACAATCGGGCCGATTGCAGGACAGGTCAAGGGGCCCAGGTGGGTGCACAGCTTAGGGGGCGGCTCCTGCTGGGGGACGGGGGTGTCTGCTGTCCCGGGGGTAACGGGGCTGAGGTCTCCAGGCCTCGTGCGCACGAGGAGGCTCGAGGCAGAGCCCGGACGCGCTCGGAGGGAGGCGTGACTGCGGCGGGAAGTCGCCCCCTCGCCGTCCCCGCCATGACGGGGCTGGGCCGCCACACGCCCTCGTCCAGCTTCGTCGTCCCACGGGGGCCGACGAGAAGACACGCTGCTTCTCTTCCCCACGAGGGACCCGCAGACACGCTTCCCTGACACAGAGCACAGCGTGCAGCGTGTGCGTGAGCGGGCACGGCCTGCGCACACGTGGCGGGGGGCAGTACACGCTGGGAACTGTGCTCCGAGTGTGTGCGCAGGTGCCCAAAGGACACCTGGAGGCTTCTAGGTGACCGGCAGAACGTGAGCCCCTTCTGGGAGGACACACCTCCACCCAGGCCCAGAGAAGACTGGCGGACCACCCTCAAGGACAGCGAGCAGCGCACAGTCAGCACGCACAGTCAGCAGTAACGCAGAGAAACAGGTCCCGCCGGCGAGACCGGGAAGGAACGACAGCGCGGAGAGTGACCCCCGAGGGCCGGGGCTGTGGGGTCCTCAGAGCAGAACTATAGAACGACACGCCTGCCGTGGCTAAACAAACAGACAAAACGGGGGCACTTCCACAAAGTAACTTGGCGTGTTGGAAAGGGACCCGGGGGAATCGTGAGGCCAAGATTTAGAAAAGGACACAGCCAGAATGTAAAGCTCAGCAACACGTGGTTTTAAAGGTCGACCAGAAAGCGAAGGGACCTGCAAGATCACATCAGAAGGAACGATCCAGGAGTGGGGGGGGGGGGCAGCGAGCGTGGCAGCGGCTGGGAGACGTGGGGACGCGGTGAGAGGGTCTGACGTGCACATGACCGGAGAACCGGAGAGCAGCCAGCGGAGGCGATGCTGGGGGAGATAGCGGCTGAGAAATTTCTAGAACTCGTGAAAGATAATCTGCAGACTCAATGAGTCCACGCGGAATTAATGAGCAATACGTTATAGGGTTGGGGGGAGAGGAATTAAAATTCCCGACCAGAGAGAAAAGCAGGGACGTGCAGGCCCTTGAATATGAAGGTGTCCGGGGTCCTGGTGTTGTCCAAACGATAGCAGCATGTGGCTGCGGTTCTAAAGGCCACCACCACCACCACCGAAGAAAACAGCCGATGACGGAAAGTCTAGCCGGGGGAAAGGAGAATGGTAAAAATTAACTGGCCTAAAAAGGGGCAAGAAAGGAGAGAAAGAAAAGGTAACAGAGGTAGGACATCAAACGGAAAGCACAGAACAGGTGAGACCCTCCATTCTTTCCTAGGCCGGCTGATCGGGCTGCCTTCCTCGGCACCCACAGAGGCTGCTCTTGCGGGGTCTCCAGCGGCCTCCAGATGGGCGAGCCCCCGGCACCCGGGCCGGGCCGGTGCTCCTGCTTTAACGTACTGGCCCGATCGGAAACACCTGCCACAGTGGATCACTCCCCTCCTCAACAGACTGGATTCACCAGGGCTCCGGGCCGTCTCCACACCTCTCTGGTCCCTCCTCCTCCTCCTCCTCTGTCTCTCTCGCTCTTTGCGCCTTGTCTCCCAGACTTCTTGTAATGGCAGAGTCCCACAGCTCTGTCCTGGTCCTCTACCCACCGCATTTGCTGCTACAGAGGGAGTTTCAGCGCTCTGGACAGAACCAAACCAGCCCCAGCATTCCCTTAAGCCAGAGCCTAACCCAGAGCGGGGCCCTGGCCCTACTCGATTCTGTGAAGGCTGAGAGAGGTGAGGGCGCTGCCGGAGAAAGGCCTGAGGCTGGCGGAGGTGGGTTCACGAGGTTTAGGGACACGAGCCGTCTCCCTAACACAGGAGCACAAGGCGAAGCGGCAGGTGCTGACGCAGACGCAGCAGCAGGTCCTGCAGGAGATCCAGCTGAGATGACGGCCCACGGAGGTGGCTACACAGCAGACTTTCTGTGTGGATGCTTCAGCCTTCTGCTGGAGGAAGTTACCCTCCGGGACCTTCTGGCCACAGAGGAGAGGCAGGGCCTGGCCTCAAAGCTTCGGAAGACAAGCAGGCAGACTCTCCTGCGAGGGGCTCACGCAGCTGC